AATTCGTACTTATAGTTACAATATTTTTTAAGAAATCGAAATTGAAATAATTTTGTAATTAAAAATTAAGTTACAAATTGTGTAAAAGTTATAAGTAATTTAATTAATAGCAAACATACTTAGTTTCTGAATTTTGCTTATTTTTGCTTAGTGGTGACATTAAGAGTATTTAGCAAAGAAAAATGTGATCTGAGCTAATCAGAAGTGTTTTCTACTTAATTAGTACGTAATTGTAATTAATTAATAAATCAATAGAAAATAAAATTCTATAATGTTAATTAATTGTCTGTGAGAACAATAATAACAAAAATTAAAACTTTGAAAATTGTTTGAATTTGATTTTTCAGCTTATGTAAAATTTTTAATTAATTAATAACTTATTCGCAGTTAATTGCTATTAATCGTACTTATAGTTTCAATATTTTGCTTATCTGTAGCAGATATTTAATTAATTTCTAAACTTCTGTAAAGTCTAAATGACAAAAATTCTAATTTTCGAAACCAAAATTGAAATAATTTATAAGTAATTTAATAGCAAACGTACTTAGCTTCTGAATTTTGTTTATTTTCAGTAGACATTAATTAATTATGAAATCAAATCAAATTTTAATTCGCTAACGTCTGATGACAACGCAAAGTAAAACAATTTAATTTAATTAATTTCTGTAAATTAGTCCCCACAATTAGTTTAATAATAATTAGTTGCCAGTTTGCCAACCAAAATTTCTTAATTATTTTCTCCAATTATTATCTAATCCAATCTAATTAACTTTCCAAAAATCAATCATTCTAACAATACGCAGCTGTCAAACCGGAAGTAACAATTTCATCACCAATAATCACAATACCCAATTACAATTATTTTTAAAACCCAAAAATAATTACGTAATCGAGACAACATCAAATTGAAATTTTTTCGTAAACAAAACTATGAAACTGTATGAATTTTTCTAATTACGTTCAAGTCGTAATTAAGTCTTAATTACACATTTACGAAAATAATAGAAGTTTTGCTCTATATATGGCTTACGTTCCGCTAAAGTGAACACGCAAGTATAGTGAACAATCAAGTCGCTTGGTTATTAATTACTGAATGCAATTTTGCCAATTTTAATTGATTCGACATGAGTAAAGCTTGCGCTTTGGTTTTGTAATGTCATGTTGATTTAATTAATTACATACTCGAGCCGAATTTTGTAATTGTTTACTTTTTTCAGAATTTTCTTAAGTCAAATTACTAACCTAGAAAATAATTAGGTGCGAAGACTGCACGAATTTGTTAATTATTTAATCCAATTACGTAATTATTGCACAGTTGTTGTCATTAATTAAAACAAATTATTCCTCAAGTGTTTAACTCAAAAATCTGCACTTTTGTTGCAACATCGTTATGAAAATAGTATTCCGGATGAGTGAAGTGTGAATAAGCGAGTAGTAGAGCACATAGTTTTACATAACACGAATCTCACATCGACGATAGTAAAAGTAAGAAAGTAAAAGTGTATTTAACAAGAAATTACCTCAATCGCAATTTTCGGTAACCCACTGACCTCTATATTAAAAACAAAATTAATATTTATAATGTGGATATAAAAATTCTAAACACATTTCAAATAATACAAAAAAATGAAATATCAGAAGGATCGACGTCTTGCGTCAGCGAATTGCTAACCTTAGCTTGCAATAGACGCTAATTTATGGAAATTAGAAGAAATAATAAGGTTGGAGTAAGTGATTTTGAGCAGCAGCGGATGGTTTTATTGATGGTTACGTTTCATTGGGCAAAATTAGCGCCAATTATGCTAATTATAACTGAAAGCTTGTTGTAATACACAAATAAACAATAAACCAATTTGCCAGATTGAATCAGCTAAATTAATAAATAAATTAGAGAAGAAATACTTTTTAGTTTTTGCCAATTTTAAAAGCAAATTCTAAGTAAATAAAATTACAAATTTCTGATAATTCGTCATACTTATACTTATTTAAGTTCGTGTTTTTCATTATTTTTCTTAAACCAAGTATACAAGGTGATTCTTTTAGGGCCTACATTAGAAACTTTTTAACTTCTAATGCAGATAGGAATTTGAAATTTTGTACACAACCCAAATCAACCAGTCTGAGTTCAACTAAATTATTTTCAAAATGGCTGAACTTCCGGAACTACGAGAAATTGGCGCCAACTTTGAAATTTTAAATGGTACCCACTTATTTTTATTGCATTTTTGAATTCTCSTCTTTAAACTAAGTAAAATGTACCTAGTTGTTAGKACTTAACTATCATAGTTTTTGACATATGWYAATTTTTTGGTCAAAATTTTCACTTGCAGGGGTTTATTCAAAACATCACAGCTCTTGAACCCTTTGCGATAAGTGAATATTTTTTGTTGCATTCGAAAACCAAAGGTTCGAAAAGTTTTCTAGAATTTTCAAAATTGTCAACTGTCAAATTGCGAGGCTAGTATGATTTTTTGAAAATGATCATTAACAAACAGCTTTAACTCAGTTTTTTCAAATAAAATAACTCTTTTTTCTCAACGGCAATCAAAACTACATCAATTTGTAGAAGGACTTTTATCAACATGTCCTATACCTATCCCTTATAGTTTTTGAAATAATCACAAAAAACATGTTAATGTTTTTATTTTTATAGTTAATCACGTAGGCTTTGGAAAAATACAATAAGATATACTTATAATTAATACAGATG